GCTCGGGAGGTCTTCCGGAGAGGGCGCTGCGTGTGCTGAGCGGGGGCGCTTCAGAACAAGTCACTCGCTGGAAGGGAATCTGTAATGTAAGGGGAGACACCTATGTATCCTGATTAGAATTCGTCCTTTTCAGCAATTTGGTGCGGAACGATTTCTTGTAGTACCCATTATACTATACGGGTATTTGTTTCATTTATCATCAAAACAATTTTTTGGTCCTTTATTAGCTCTCAAGATTACCTACGTGTTTCTTCACAACAATTTCTCATAAACTCAGGTTTCAAACTTGATATTGACTTTTAATCACAGCCTTGAATTCCGAGTTTCGCTGAGAAATAAAAGATTGCTGTAATGAAGTGTTCGTGTAGCTTGATATACGAGTATAATTGCTGTTCATTGAGTAAGCGTTAGCAATGTGGGATGGCGGGAAATTATTAAAATAATAATTTTCTTATTGTAGTTTCACTTCGTGCAGAAATATCAAGAACGTTTGTTATTGATGAAAGATTGATTATTGATGAAAATCCTTGTTCAGCACTTATTTGTTCTTTCACGTTGGTGTCTTAATTTAATAACCACAAATTGGAAGTACAAGCACATTGTAAAAAATGGTTCAACAGATCAGAACACATCTGATTTTTGTGGAGGAAATTCTATTCTATTCCTCTTACGTATTTCATTAATTTTGACAATATCTTAGGAGATATTGCTCTTCCTGCCCTTTATTCGTAATTGTTGTAAGTTTCAAACAGCGCTACCGAATCTTCTCCGCACCAGATGTGTCGTCAGCTGTGCGAGACGCAGACATGAAGTTCTATTTCTGAAATTCTCGAACGGGGTTTCAAGTAATGGGAACGAAAACATTTCGGAGTATATTCTTAGCGTCCCGCACAAAGCACAGCAAACATTGGCCCCAACTGGCGAAGAGGCTTTTCTTCTCCTTCGACCTTTCACAGCCAGTGGAAAACACAAGAGGCCAGAAGACGCTAAAAGAAAGCAGAATGAGGGCTGTCGGAGCCAGGGGTCCCCCGCAGAGGCCGTGAATGGAGCCTTCGGGGAGGAGAACCCTTCTGGCGCGGAAGGGGGTG